CAAAGTGCAAATTCTTGTCCGTGAACCAAATTCCATGCTAATTATGAAGTGGATGTCAAATTAATGGGATGTTTGCTCCAAAGTGGGATTTGGAATTTGGTTCACAGTGGGATTTAGCATGGAATTTGGTTCATTACAATAATATATTCTAATGCATGCAAAGTGCAAATCCTTGTCCGTGAATCAAATTCCCAAAGTGGGATTTAGCATGAAATTTGGTTGGCAAAGCAAAATGGATGAGGTTTAGAGGCTGATTTGTGTGACCTTTCATTTAATTGCTAATTATGTCAACAACCCTAGGAACAACTTTTGTTCACATATACATATACATATGTGTGTTTTCTGGTTTGCATGAACACATTTTATCTTTGAAATGCAATAAAATGTTAGTCAATGACACGCATGTATATATAATTGCAAAAATCCCTTCTAATTGAGTCATTGATTATCTAATATCTCTTTTATGAGTTTGTTTAACACTCAAACAAACAGAGCTTAAATTGCAAAAATTTCTACTATTATAACTCTGTTTTGAACCAAATAGCCCTTGGTTGATCTATCTAATCTTACGTAAAATTGTCGCTAGCAATAATGTAAAATTAGTAATGATTTTCTTGAACCTTCACTAATTATCACTTTTAGTAGTAATTAAGTCTTGAATCATGATTGTTCTTAGACCCTACCTCTTCTTTTCTTGGCCAGGATGTTTTCTGGTTCATATGTGATGTGTGTGAATGACTGAAAGGACCACAAATCAATTATACATGCATGCAAAATGACCTTGGGGAATCCATTTTCATAGTCGTATATATATACTTTATTTTCATTATCAAGTATAACAGTTTTAACCGATTCTTGATCAAGTGATAGTATACTATATGTTCAAGACTGAAATTATTTAGTGATAGACTTTTATTTATATACCATCATAAATATGACTAAATTTCATTTTTCTCAATAAGTTGAAGAATTTATTTTATTTTATTTTTTTACACAACAAGTTCAAGATTAGAATGTGAAAAGTTCCACTTAGATAAATAATAGTAATAGTAAAAATTTAGAACGTGGAATGAAGGATGTGAAATGCTGTTGCACTCCAATATTATCTAGTATGGTGGACTTTAAAGAGCATATTAGAGAAAAAATTTATATTTTTATTTGTATATATAAAAAATTTAAATCTCTGAAATTGCGCACTTATAATTTTTATAGACTATGTATAAAATTTAAATTTGGTGATTAGGTTTACCAGATGTTGGAGGATGTAAGCTTTAAATGTTCAATAAATAATTAAATATTGTAGTGGTGTGTATATGGTGTGCCTTGGTACAACACATCTTATCTCCAATAATTAGGAAAATTGTATGTCTGCCTTAAAAAAATCACTATAAAGTGCCTCCACATCCACGTAAGAGATATGATCTATGTATAACATATAATATATATATATATATATGTGTGTGTGTGTGTGTATATGTGTGAGTGTGTGGTAGTTAAGAGTGAGGATTGCCTAAAGTAATATTAAGATATATATTTTATGGCCATCATTGTATGTGACCATATTTTGTCTCTTTAGATGTAATAAAATGTTTCTCAATGGTCATAAAATAAAAATAAAAATCATATGTTTATTTTATAGGGAGACACCGACCTACCAATTAGATGAAAACAGTAGCAGAAATAATGAAGTGGATATCAAATTTATGCATTAATGTCCCCATATATATATATATCAAAGAAATAAAAGAAAAGAAAAGAATTAAACTAAAGTAATTGACTTGAAGAACTTGGTAGGTTGAGAGCACCTATCTTTGGCAGGGTTGAACCACCTAAATCTGTGATGAAGGTTATGGACTTATGGGTGAGACTGTAAGTTAACTCTTTCAAAATATTTAAAACGAATGAATGAAAATTTAATAGACTCTTTAACTTCATTTATTTAGGATAATATAACAGTCTCTTATCTAAAAGGCTAAAATTAATAATAGTTTTAATTATTCTTTAAAGTAAAATAAATTCCATTATCTTGATCACCATGTGACAAATGACAAAAGTTCTTAATAAAGCCTAAATATACATGACTAGACTCATATATACGGCCAATAATATACCTAACACTACAGTAAAATTTATAAGAAAAGAATTGTATGATAAAGTGCAGAGAGTGTTAGTTGTGTCACAAAATTCTGATATAGAATTTCACTATGGAAAAGCGAAATTGGTTGCGATTTAGTAAAATTGGTCGCATTTGGACAGAATGCTTGAAACGATGATTCACTTTACTAAAAACGGTTGCGCTTGTGCGTGAATTAATTTCTTATTTCAAATTGAGAAGTAGTTTAGCAGAATTGACATGGAATTCCTTGGTAGCCAAATTGTGAATACTTGTCTAACAAATAATTAATGTGAAGACTTTATAAATAGAGATGGGTGTGAGAGACTAATAGAGAGAGTGAGAAAGAGAAAAATAATTATAGAGAGAAAAAGTAAATTCAATTTGTGAGAAGAAAAAAAATATGTAATCAAATTTTGAAATAAAGATAGCAGTAAATAATTTGGTGAAGAATCACGTAAATTTGAGAAATAAAAAGAGTTTTCCTTAAATATATATATATATATATAGTTACCAATAGGTCCAAAACACAAGTTATGGTTTGGGTCAATATCTGCCAGCTTCTAGTCTTCACGCCTCATGATCATCTAATTGCTTCCAAAAATTATTTTCTCATGTGGACCCTTTCAATAATATAATCCGATGGTTTTCCTAAGAAAGGCAGCGCCTACAAAATAATCAAAGCCCTCCATCAAATTTTTAGGGATCCATCTATTCCATAAATTATTAGTCCCTCTGTCGTCACTATGGACCAAAATCGTCCCTAAGCAAACAGGAGACCTGTTCAGGTCGGTCCATATTGTAACGACAGTACAAAAAAAAAAAAAAAAAAAAAAACAAAGAAAAAAAAAGAACAAACAGTGTTATGGTACAGTATTTTTTTATAATTGACGTGGCCTAGGATGGATTCTGGGCCACACAATTGGATCGGTCCAACACGATTCCTGTTCGACAAGAGACGATTTTTGTCCGTATTATTACCATTCTTGATTTTTTTATAATAATTTATTAAATTTTTTAGATCCATAGAGAATTTAATTGAACTCGGATAACATGATCCAGAAAGATCTCTGGTTTAATTGAAAATAAATCAACTTATTACAAATTTGATTCAGCTAGGATTAAAGTTTTATTTGATCAAATTAAGATTAAATATTTAAAAATTTAAGAGTTGAATTTTAAGTACTTTGAGAACTCCTTTTAAAGATTATAAGAAAAAATTAGCATTCAAATGACGAGTATTATCATACTTCCTTTTGCTTAAAATTTCATCAATTTTAAATAATGCTTATTTTTTTAAGTGTCAAATACACTAAATTGAATAAGTAGTGCATATATCTAAAATTAAATAAAAAATTGAGTATTTAAATCCTAAATTAGGAATAGTGTGGTTCTAGCATGAGTCCCACTCTCAACCATTGAATTGTTGGTTCTAAGAAATTCTACAATACCTATATTTTGACAAATAATAGGTATTTTATTTAGGAGAGCTTTAAAATAAATAAAAAATTTTGATTGGAAGGGTACCATTTATTTGTAGACTTTTCAATGAGCCATGTTGCAACTTTCCATTATATAAAAATATATATGTATGTAACACTCGTACAAGCAATTGGAGAACTGACTATTGATAAATCCATTCGCTCCTTGTATTATATAATCACGTTTTGATTTACTACAATCACGTGACGTGGAACTAGTAATACTTTTCGACGAATGTGATTGGCGCATAGACTAGAGAGACAAGTCATCTCTAGTTCCACGTCACGTGAGCATATACTTGGAATATATTAATGTTAATCTATAAATTGTTATCTGCAATTATATGTACTCATATTTATTAACTGGGATTGTGACATGAAGAGAAGTAAACAAATTGAATTCCAAAAATGCCCCGAAACGACTTGGAATAACAAGGACACCTCCGACAGAATATGCTGCAAACACTAATTGCTCCAAACATTTTAGGGTCCTACCACAAGGCGTATTGTAGAGAACATGAACTCTTTTTTGTCTCCACTCTCTTCTTTTTCTTTGTTTTTTTCTCCTTTAAATAGTGTCTCTAGCTCGTGTGAATTACTAATAATCAAAAATCCCAAAATACCCCTAATTATCAATTTTCACAATTTTTTTTTTCTTTCAATAAAAATTTCAAAATGCCTTTTTGAATAAACTTTTGTGTATACAAGTATTTTTTATTTTTCTTTAAGGGCATTTTAAATATTTTAATATTTAAATTGAAAAATGACTTATTTCCCTAATTTAGAAAAAGTAGGGGAATTTTTTTAACACTAGAGAGTTTTTCACAATATATATATATTGACAAAAATGCCCACAACCACCTTGCTTTAACCAGAATTTAAACATTAATTTACAACATTGAAAAGTTTGGACTGCGTTGTGTAAATGTTCTTAAACAAGTCGGTTTTGTGCAGGGTAGTAAAAATTTAGTACATGAGATAATGTTGTCCATTTAAAATATCCTATATGAAAAAGAGTTAATATTCAAATATAGAATATGTAGTGAATATATATATATATATATATATATATATAGAATATCATTCAGATTTCTTTTCATCTATTTACTATTAGTTGAAATTCCAATGGTATGATATCACAATGAAATTTATTGTTCCAAATAGACAAGGTAAATAAGCTTCTCCCTATGATAGGACCATTTTCTAATATTGGTCCAAGGGTTGCATTGCATCTTATCACCAAATGGTTACTATATATATATATATATATATATTAATTATATTTCTGTATAATTATATACGGGCGATGTATGTATATGTAGAAGACGACAGCTCACTAACCTCGCAACAGCTCAAGCACTCCACAATAGCGTTTTAAGGTTGTGAATCCTTTAATCCATACTTCCTTTCAATATTACAAACATCAAGCTAATGTTGGTTGTGTGACAAAAACAAACTTCTTATTTCCTCTCTCTCCACTTTCTCTTTCTAGAATAAAAAAGGAGAAGAAGATGGAAGCGGTGACGAGGAGATAATTCAGCTCTCTCTCTCTATCTCTGATATCCCCATCCCCCCAAAAGCAAAATCGAAGACGCAAACTCTCTCTCTCTTCTCATTCCGCCATGTTTGCCCTCTTCTGAATTACTCCCTCTGATTCAGCGCACCGACACAATCTTCTCTCTCTAGAAACCTTTCTTCCACTCCGATTTCGCCTTTTGTTTCGTCCCAATTTCTCTCTCAATAAATTTCCACGCAATTTTTTTTGTTCTTTCAACCAAAAGTTTGTATCTTTCTCTCTATAATTTTCTTCCCTGTAAATCTGTTTTCCACCTTCAACTTTCTCTCTTTTCTCTCCCATTTTTATTCCGCCCTTTGTCTCTTCCTGTATTTGTTCTCTCTAAAACATTCAATAAAACTTCATCTTTCAACCAAAACTATTCGTTCTCTCTCGATATTTCTGCAAATTATTGTCGGTTTTCTTGTTAGATCGTCTTTGGTTACAAGTTTGATGAATTTTGACCAATTGGGTCATTGAGGAGTAGCTACAAAATCATGACTCCGGCTCTGATTGAGCCGCCGACATTGACGGAATCGTCGTCGTCGTCGTCGGTGGAGTCTTCTCCTTCGCCTCCCAAGAGATCTGGGGGCGAAAATCGTCCTTTTGCAGATCTCAGGGGGGTTCAGTGGCGTATAGATTTGGGGATTTTGCCCTCTTCTTCTTCCATAGATGATCTTCGCCGGGTCACCGCAGATTCTCGTAGGAGGTAACTTTCCTCTCTCTCTACACGTGTGTAGTTGGATATAGATCTTCACATTATATATATATATAATATAGTTTTTGTCTTTGTAATTAGAATGTATCAATTGATTTTGTGCTTAAAATTACTAAAGGGAAATTATATTTATTTTGTTCATTTGGGTTGAAATGATCACCTTGATTGAATTTGGAAAGTTCTAGAAATATGTTGTCAAGAATATTTTTATTCAATGAATTTTTTCTTGTCGTTCTATCTTATTTCAAGAACACAATTGGTTTTTGGCATAAAAATAAAGCCTAGTAATTTGGGTAATGGTTTTACTCTTCTTCTTAATGATGATAATTTTGTAATGATTTTAGTAGTTATTGGGGTTCATTTGAAATTCAATGAATGAAAAAGAAATAGAAACTACAGTTTGTCAACTTGTTTATGTTTCATTCCATGTTGAAATTTGGACATCTTGAAAATTGAGTGTCTTTTATTTCTCCCATATGTTTGGATGAGATGTTGAATATATATATTATATAGTTATTTTAGCTTTTTGATTTTTAATGAGGTTTTCTTCTGATTGGAAACCTGAAATTTAAATGTTGGGCTTTGGGTTTAAATTATAGGAGTTGCGACTTCAGGAATCGTTGATGTGATGGAAATGTATTGCTGTACTTTAAGCAGGGTTTTTATGCAAGGGGTTCAGAGTAAATGCTATTGCATTGCAATCTAATGTGGCTTATCTATTGCTTTAAGTTATTTGATGTTCTTTCTCAGATATGCTGCGTTGAGGAGGCGGCTCCTAGTTGATTTACACATACCTAAGGATGGAAGTAATTCTCCTGATCTTGTCATGGACAATCCATTGTCCCAAAATCCAGGTTAGATCTTATAACTTTTTATCGATCGCCTTACTCCTTTTTTGTACATATCGATCTAGGCACTGTCTTCTCCTTTTATGTCATGCTCAAATATAAATTACAAAAGTTTATTAAATTTTCTGTCTCGTTGGATTATCTCATTGGTGATATAATTTTACACGTGGAGTGATTGCTGTTTTATCTACCAATATTTAAAGCTTGCATACTGAAGTATGTTTAATTAGGCATCAGTGGCAAAAGGTAGTTGCATGATTGCATCACCCCAAACTGAAACCGCCACCACCTCTCCCTACCAGTACCAAAGGTCAAAATGGAAAGAAAGAATGTAATTTCATTTGGGGAAATAAGATAAAAGCAACAATTTTAATACAATGAATAAGATAAATAATACTAATAATAATAATTTATTGCTATATTTTGTAGTGTTGCTGCCAAATTAGATTTGTATGAACTGGATTTCCTTGTCGATTGATGCAATTGCCATTCTTTGTTGATTTTTCATGCAGATAGCACGTGGAGTCGCTTCTTTCGGGGTGCTGAATTGGAGAAAATGGTTGATCAGGATTTGTCCCGTCTATATCCCGAACCTGAAAGCTACTTCCAGACATCGGGATGCCAATGCATGTTAAGACGAATTTTGTTATTGTGGTGCCTTAGACATTCAGAATATGGTTACAGACAAGGTAAGTTGTACTGTTTCCTTATAAATATAGACTATCCAATGTTTGTGCTTCTATACAATTATTAGTTAGATACATTTATCTGTCTCTGTGTCTGAATAAATGAAACTTCGATTTTAAGTCCTCATTGGAATGGTGGGAATGCATATAACTGTTGCAAAAACTAAATCAGATATGTTTCTTTTTTTTCTTTTGGTTCAAAAAATAAAAAAAAAAAAAGAAAAAAAAAAAAGAAAAAAGAAAAAAAAATGACTACCCTATAATAAAAGAACATGAAAAATCACTTATTTTCTTTCTTGCAAATTCACATGATGCTCATTCCACAAGTGCAAATTTTCCCCTACTTTAAAGATGTGCACATTGTTTTTTATGTGTTATTCACCAATTGAACTAGAAGATTCTGTTCTTGTAAAAAATTACCTGGCAGGATTTGGGTCCTTCAACTTTTCATTACACCGTGCGGCAAGGACCCTTTTTGATCATCAATATTCCTGCTTTGCTACATTCTCTCTCTCCAAAAGTGCTTTATCTCTCGAGAATTTCATCTCTCTTATCCAAAACAGAACATGGTTTTATACTTTTATAATGAAAAGGCAGTTGTTTAATATCGTTCTTTCTGATTTTGTTTTCAGGAATGCATGAACTCTTGGCACCATTGTTATACGTTCTCCATGTTGATGTGGAGCATCTCTCACAAGTGCGAAAGCTTCACGAAGACCACTTCACTGATAAATTTGATGGAATCTCCCTTCACGAGCGTGAATTAGCATATAACATTGGTTTTAAGAAACTTCCCAGGTCCGTGGAAGGTGAAATTGACTCTCAAAAATGTTCAGTGAAGACTAGTAGTCTCGACGAACTTGATCCCAAGATACAAGCCACTGTATTACTAACTGATGCTTATGGGGCAGAAGGTGAACTGGGTATCGTCTTATCAGAGAAATTTATGGAGCATGATGCTTATAGCATGTTTGATGCTTTGATGAGTGGGGCTGGTGGCGCAGTTGCCATGGCAGAATTTTTCTTGCCTTCTGCTTTGGGTGGCTCACACACTGGTTTGCCTCCTGTTATTGAAGCTTCTTCTGCGTTGTACCAGTTGCTTTCTATAGTTGATTCATCTCTCCATAGCCACCTTGTTGAGCTAGGCGTTGAACCCCAGTACTTTGCCCTCCGCTGGTTACGAGTTCTATTTGGGCGTGAGTTTGCACTTAAAGACCTTTTGATGATCTGGGATGAAATATTTGCATCTGACAACAGTAAATTAAACAGAAGTGCTGAAAATGACGAAGAGTCCAGCTATGGGGTCCTCAATTCCCCAAGGGGAGCATTCATCTCAGCCATTGCAGTTTCAATGATACTTCATTTGAGATCTTCCGTGCTTGCCACTGAGAATGCCACTGCCTGTCTGCAGAGATTGTTGAATTTTCCAGAGAATATAAACCTGAAGAAACTGATAGCGAAGACAAAATCCTTGCAGGCATTTGCATTAGATGCTAATAACTCGACCCCACTGCCAATACATAATGGGGCGTATAACCTGAGTAAACCAATGATTGTGAGAGGTCATAGCGTTCCACCGGATTCCATTTCTCCAAGGTCTCCACTGAATTTGGTACCTGAGAGCTATTGGGAAGAGAAGTGGAGAGTTCTGCACAAGGCAGAAGAACTTAAGCATGGTAGCTTAGAAAACCAAGTAACCAACCGCAAAAAGGGTTGGTCAGAGAAAATGAGATTGAGTTTATCAAGAACCGGATCTGCCCCGTCCCCTTCTAGGGTTGATAGTGGAAAAAAGGACACTAAGTCATCTGTTAGGAGGAGCTTGCTGGAAGATTTGTCTCGGCAGCTTGGATTTGAGGAAGATACGGAGAAAACAGCGTGTAATGAAGTTCTTGACCAGAAGCACCCTTCATCTGTAGATGCAGAGGTGGATGGTATTTCTAAGAACTTCGCTTCCACAGCTGAGGAGAGGTGCTTGAATGGAAATGCCGGCAGTGAAGAGAACTCTCCTATTTTTTCAGATCCACCAAGCCCTCTTTGTGGAGCTAATGACCATGAAATTGAATCAGAGAGTAGTGTCGCGTCAAATTTATCCACTGATGAAAATGATGTTGAACCCAATAATGCTGAGTCATGTACGACTAACTCAGGCTCATCTCTTTCGGTCTTGGATTCCCCAGAGGACATCTCTATGAAATCTGGACAGAATGATGATTCTCCGGAAAACTCAGCAAGTATTATTGTGTCAAATTTGCCCACTCATGAAAATGATTTTGAACCCAGTAATGTCGAGTCTTGTAGGACTAACCCAGAGTCACCTCTTCCAATCTCAGATTCCCCAGAGGACATCTCTTTGAAATCCGGACAGAATGATGAAGCTTTGGGAAAATCAGCAACAGATTTTAAGGAGCGGAAGCGTCCATCGGGCAAATTCCAGTGGTTTTGGAAATTTGGACGGAATAGTGCCGAGGGGACCTCTGATAAAGGAGGTGCTTCTGAGGCAACAAAAGCTTGCGGTGGAGAGAGTAATCAGAAAAATGCAGCGATCTCTTCTACAGCTGATGGGCTTAGCACTTCTTCTGCAATAAGCAAAGGAGATGCCGTGGACCAGAATGTAATGGTTACTTTGAGGAATCTTGGGCATTCCATGCTTGAGAATATTCAGGTAATTATCAGAATTAATTTTGATGTGCCAGTGATTATGGACAACATTTTTTTGCCACTCTCTCTTATAACCTAAAACTTACATGCTTCTTCCTGCCCCTAATAAAGTAAGAAATTTGCTGATAATATGACACCAATATGTGAACTCAACAAAGAATTTTCACGGAACTCTTTTACATGAATCATGTTCCGCCTAAGGTCATAACCTTTGTTAATCCACATGCTATCATCATATCTTTCCTAACTATCTCAACTCATTTTATTTTTAGTTTTTCCCTTACCCTAGCACATTACCCTCGGTAAAGAGTGTCACTTTTCTTAACTGGTACTGTCTTTAATATCCACTTTCCACAATATAGTTCATTTTTATTTGATGTGTTTTCTGATGAATGGAAGTGATTCTTCATTGGTGTTGCTTCCATTTCTAATTTGTTAGTTATTCTCGTCTGGTGTAGTCTCGTAGAGGTCGTGAACCTGTAACTAACCATAGATACTTAACAGGTGATTGAGTCTGTTTTCCAGCAAGATAGGGGTCAAGTGGGATCAGTAGAGAACTTCTCTAAAAATGTTTTAGTGGGCAGAGGACAAGTTACAGCCATGACAGCTCTGAAGGAGCTTCGGAAAATCAGCAACCTTTTATCGGAGATGTGAGGTTGGAATTATTTAAATTTAATCTGTATATACATTTTGTAATTACTATTTCCAAGTGTCAGAAATAAATGAGTTTCTTCGGCTTCTCGTATCTTTTATACCTTCCAATGAATATAAATTTTGTTATGAATTTGAGTTTGATGTGTAAATAGAAGTTTCTTATTATAGTATTTTATGTCGAGAACTGTAATTTCTTACTGCAAATTTTCAGTAGCTTTCAGCGGATCAATCATATAAAACTCATGCAATGAGAATGTGGTATATGATTTGCATTTTAATTCTTTAATTGATGCATATTTTGGAAGATCACATATTTTTATGCATCAACCTTTGGAAAGAACTCGTGCAGTTCCAAAACTAGGGCTCATAAATTTGGCCTCCTTTTTCCTTGGATGCTTATAACAAGGTTCATTTGAATTCTGAATGTATCATACAACTGACAGCAAACTCATCGAAACAAACTCATTGAATACCGGAAAAAATGTTGTGTACACAATGATTTAAGTGCATGTTTGGAGTCGATGATTGGACTATCAAGAAAAAGGTCCATGTTTGGCTACTGTTTCTTTCATAAATAAACTCATACAACTTTACTTCCAAACGTATTCAAAAAGTTCCAAATTGAACTTTTGACTAAAAGCTGGATTAAGATTAAAAAAAAAAAAAAAAAAAAACGGGAAAAATCTCTATCACTAAAAGTGCTTCTCTTTACTTACCAAAAAGAACAAGAAAAAAAAATAGGAAATTTTCTTTTTGACCAAACGCAATTGAAAGTGAAATTTCAAAATAATTATGTTCTTGATCAAGATAGGGCCAACATTACCCTAATTGAGAGAGGGATGAGTCAATGTACGACCAAGACAACACTTTGAAATGGAAACACTTTCAACGAGTTAATGCAAACTTGAAAGCAGATAATCAGACTATCGACGATTTGTGGCAACAAAAATCAAACGAAAACATACCAATGCCAGGGGTCAGGGTCTAGAAGCAGAACTAAATGATCAACAAACTAGCCCTCAAGATGCTCAACTTGTCAAACCAATCCCTCTCTTCACAGAGCAACTCCAAACAGGTCAGGTCTAGTTAATATGCGAGGAGAGAGAAACTAAACACAGTATATTCCTTGCGCTTGGGATAAAATTCAACAACAATTCATCACAATTTGTTGGGGATGATTTTTGAATTGAAGCATGTCAAGGAAATCTTGAAATGAAAGTACATAATTATGTTAAATGATCAAAATGGTACACCCTTTGGTCTAGAATCAATAATCAGTGTCTCTCAGTACAAAAAACATGAAAAGAATCACATTGTACCGAATAAATAAAGAATGAGCTTGTCAACTAAGAGGATTAGCCTAGTAAAAAAAAAATTCAAAGAATACAATGGAATTAAAGAGGAAAAAAGAAAACAAAAGAAGAAGTTGATCTCTAGAGTAGCGTGTGGTTTCCCTGTGGTGGCATTGTACTCTGCGGGTAACTGAAGGGATCTCCAAACGGGTTTGCAGACCCCATATTTGGCATCTCTTGTTGAGGAGGATATTGGGTTGGATACTGATGAGGTACCATTGCCAGCATGTTTTGTTGTTGGTGCTGCTGCTGCTGCTGCATCATCATATGCTGTTGCTGCTGCTGAGCCATGATGGCCATCTGCACGTTGGTCGGGGGTGCTATGCTACTGGACATTGCAAATGGATCTTGCTGTTCAAATGAATTTTGCAAAGGCATTCCGTATCCGTACCCTGTATTATAGCCTGCATTCTGCAGCTGTATTTGTCTCCTGGCAGTATCATCTTCATACAAGCTATCAAGTAATAGCTTGTCAAATCCACCGGCCTAATACCACAAACCAAATTGTATTAGTCGTTTGATTATAAATAGTTACTTATAATTTTTCCATACACAACACTAGTACAATGACTCGTACATATAATGACTACAACAATTCTGGTGGAATTTCAAAAAAAAATCAATGATTGACATTTACTGATTTACAATTAGGGATGCAACTCAATTCTTGTTAGGTAACTATCATTTTTGCATTAAATCAGATCCTAAGTTCAGAGCGTCAACAAAGGCATTAACCCAAGTTAAGCGACCTTAGTTTTATTCGTCATGTTAATGCAAGCAACTAAAATACAAAGGCAGAACTGATAATTAAATTGCTCAACCTAAACCAAATGCTAGTATAAATGAGGTAATAGTAACCCACCCTACTGGTTCTTACAAAAAAATCTACCCTGAAAATTCAACTTTAATGCATTTTCAACCCATAACCAAACCAATACCGACTAACAAATTGAAAAAATTTGAACTGACATTCGGTCAGTTGTCTTAAATCCTCATTTCTATTAGTATTCACAACTTCAATACTACTGTTTAAAGCCTTCTGAGAGAAGGAAAAATAAAATGCAGTAAAAACTTAATAGTGGAGCAAAAGGAACAAACCAATTTGGTTTCTGTCATCTGGTTGTTATTAATGTTGCTCGGTGTGGTAACCAGAGCTAGCTCCCATCCTGAAGTATTTCCAATTTCAGCCAACGCCCGATTTGTTGACAAAGGATCACCACCTGAACAATATTGCAAGATCTTAGCACAAGTTCAAAATGGTGCATATGGACAATAGGATAATCAAGAGAATGACACCACAATTTCAACAAATGGTTCCTGTTGGAAAGAAAAGAATCTGGACTGCATCTATTGCCTGTTAAAAGAGAAGCACTAGATGTACTAAAGGAAGTCACAATTCACTAGTCCATTCTTCAAAGATCTTTGTGCTTGGCTTGTCCTAAATGGATAGTCATCAGCATCATTTGTTGGGACAGCTGAACATTCTATTTTTTGAAGTAAAAGAAAATAGATAACAATAATCACTCAAACAAGGTGAATTATGACTTTAAGGTCAATTAGATATAACTATTCCAGAGTTAAAACTTATACTACGTGAATCATGTTCTCAAGCAAGATAGGTATCAAAATTTCCCAATGAAAGTTAAAAACACTATACAGCTTACCAGGTGGGATTATGGCAAGAGCCATTGCATTGCCTTCCTCTAGCTCTGCAGCTTTTGGATTTATTTCATTCAAACCCTGGATACGCGCACACGGTAATAATAAAGTAAATAAATAAAACCATAAAAAGTTGAATAATAATATATGTTATTGGAATTCACTAAGACATTTGAATCAGAAAATCAAAAGTATGTTTATTTTTTTAAACTTACCAGTAGATCCCCAGTATCTTCAGTTGATATTAATGGTGGAGTTTCATCCTCACTCTTAGGATGAGGTTCTTCCTGTGCATCTACCATTGGTTCTTTATCTTCTGCTTCTTCAACTTCTTTAACTTTTTCTTCACTTTCTTCAGGGGCAGGTTCTTCGGGTTTATCAGGTTCTTGATTTGTCTCCTGATACTCCTATTGTTTAAATCAAAGAACAGACAAACCAAAATTAAAATATACACACACCAGCCCAAGATTTCAAGATAAGACATATATTTGTAAATAGTGAACCCGAGTCAATTTGGACAGGTTTCTCAGATTCAAATTAACCAAATATAATTTAGGCGAAATATGTGGTGGAAATTAAAATGAAAACAAGAACAAATAGGTAGGACTTGAAAATACATGGAAGTTCCATCATTAATTTGGTGGAAATTCAAGAATTATTAGACCAAATGACCAAATTTTTGAAAAGGTCGGGTTACATAAATTCAGGCAATGCTTCTGCAGTGTTGGGGTTGGGGGTGGGGAGAGGAAACCATGAATTGACAAGTTGACGACTGCGTGGAAGACTTTGCTTGTAGAGGACCACAGAAAACAACATCTATAATGCAAGAATTCAATCAATTATCCCGCCCAAAAGGTACTAGAATATAACTGATCATTAGGTGCCAATGCCAGTGATAAAAGCTTGGGCTGCCTAGTGTGAGAATGCGGGGTTGAGTCTGAAGGCAGTCACTTCGTGCAAATAATGACAAAGCTATGAATTCTACTTAGTTCACCGCTCCCAAGCCCAGCACCATCAACTAGTGAGAACTGCACAGGGTAATAGTTTTTAATGGCCCTTTAATCATTAAATATAATGATCAGTCTATAGATAAATTCAATAAAGGTAAGACATTTGTACATAACTTGTTCTGAGAAAAAAAAATTATTTGAGGATTTTCAAATGTTCAATCACTGAAACAATAATGGCTGTTACAGTCGTAGGATCTGAAAGATGCAGCTTGGCCAATTTTAGTTCCAATTTTTTTGCAAGAAAGTATCATTTCTTTCTTTACTCAAGACATCAAATGCACGACTGTGTTTGGTTTAGCATAAGACATGCAAGTTGAACACCAAAGCTGGGGATGACAATTGTCTCGATCGGATTATAACACTTCAGCAACCTAGAAGAAACTTTTTCCTTTATTCCTGACTTCCTCTACATGTATGTTAAGATCAAGAGGTTGTCAAGATTACACCATTAAGGTGTACAACAAAACCCAAAAAGGAGTTGTATATTATATTGCAGCATTTATCTGAACCTAATCAATAATATTGATGTTTTCAAATTATTTTACTCAAGAACCCTTTAGCTAAGTCCTTCCCTACCAAAAAAAGGAATGCTAAAGCAATAAGAAGACATTAATGGCACTGCTTTTTTGACATATATGTTTCAAAAGGGGAAGCCCAAAGCAAAATGGTTGAGTGCTCTCACCAGTCTCCTATTTGAAACTGAACCTGTCTGAGGTGCTTCTTTAATATATTCTTCCATTGTTGAAAGAAATGAAGGAGGAGGCTGTTCAATGCAGAAAACTCTAGTTATGAAAAGAAGTGCATCAGAATTGACTTCAGCTTTCCAAGTTTTGAGTATGAGAAAGAAACCTGTCTCAATGTTGGAAACTGAAAATTCCTAGCAAGATCCAAACCTTTACAAAATTCATAAAATTCAGCAAGCTGTTCAGCCTACAGAGAGGAAAGAAAGGAAAATAATTAGCTTAGCCAAAAATTTCAGCCAAATATAGCACCAAAAATAAATAAATAAATAATTGCAGCGAAATATATTCCTAGGCAGAAAGTGGAATTAACAAAAAGGCATATGTGCAAACCTGTTGGCCAGCTCTTTTGTAGATATTGAGAGCTTTAACTGCGTCGTGTTTGGACATGTCAAAGAACTGCATAAAGGTGAAGAAGTTAACATTGAATATTAACGAAGATTGTTAAATAGAGGGAGGATAGTCCTGTAATAGCGAAAATAAGACCATACCATGTCCACAAGATTGATAATCCCATCATTGATGGCACAATATATTTTGAAGCTCTCTTTCAGTACCTACATGATCAACACATGGAATTTTAATTAAAAAGTTTTCGAACAAGCAATATGTGCTATATGTAGATTCAGCATACTACATGGATAAAAGGTTAAATGTCTTAATATGAGATATTCCAAAGATTTAGGATAAGGATTGACTTTTGACTAATAAAATGTTCCAAATTGCAATAATAAAATTAAAAATTACATTCCTATGAGATCCCTCGTCGGGGATGAGATGCTTTGTAACGGAAATAATTCAAAATCGTTATAAATAATAAGAATCAGTCTCATGAGGTCCAAAAGAAGAATTCGAAAGTATATCGTTATAATAATTAATGGTGCATGAGCAGTATTGGGATTACAATACCCCTCTAGTCATGCATATGTTACCAGCCTACAGCTATCCAGGAATTGTGGGAAATAAATAAGAAACTCTACAATAGTGTCAACATTTCTACATAGTGTCATACAATCTGAACAAACTCTACAATAAAAGCCTCTGAATCAAAGAGAAATAATTTTAGAAAGAGAAATTTAAGGGGCAAAACACGCGTGTTGCTCACTTGCGCCCCCACCCAACAAAAAATTAAAAAAAAATAAAAAAAATCCTTAAAATGATCACGGTGTGGCAGTCACATTAAAATTCAATTAGTTGACTAACTCAATACACAGTTCAGTCCGATTATTAGCTTTCCTTTATATGCTCATAGACTTTTTGGGAAATTAGAATTTCATGAAAAAAAAAAAAAAAAAATGCTAGACCAGATCCTTTTCTGCCAGCAAAAAAAAAAAAAAAACGAACTTGTTTGAGAATATGCGTACCAGAGCCAAAGCATACTGTATGAGATAATTATGGTAAGCTGCTCCTTCAGGCTGCAAAAAAATTGGAGCAAATCAGTTTTTTTCTCCTTTTTCTTTTGAGGAGAAAAATGTGATAATAACAGAAGATAAACATTACAATTCAAGCTGTAGAGATTTCTCTCAAGGTAGAAAAAAAAAATAGGGAATATTGTCTCAACAGTTACCTGGCAACCAATTAGGCGGAACAGAAGCTGCTGCAATGCAGGTAGTTGCTCCAACAGCTCCTCACCACTCAAAAGCCGCGTTCTACTATGCACCTAATATTACAAATAGTCCTTCGTAGTGTTCTTAACAATGCAAGTGAAAAGGGATTAATCCTCATAGATGTAGAAAACACACACCTTGGTTGATCCCGGTGATGTTTTAGTTAAACGTTCTGTCTCAATGTCATATTTCAATATCCTAAAACACTCAAGTCGCTCTTCTAGAAAGAGTGCATATGTTCGAACCCATGCAGAGCAATCCCAAGCTGTGGGAACATATGACAGTTAAATAACAAAATATTGCTACATTTCAAAAGTAAAAGTGTATCCGTATCATCCAAGTAAGAACAACATGAAAAGAATAAATCAAGCTAATCAGTTTACCGAGAGGACTAGAGTCATCCTTGAAATTGGATATTTGGAGAATATGTCCTCTGTGTGAGTAGTTCAATAGCTCCTCTCTAAAGGTTGGATCACCCTCTCTCAATGTCCTATGAATAACTATCAATGTCTTTATGGCAACCTGTGGATAATCATCATTTAGATAAGAGATCAAAAAGTTGTACAACCAAGCTCCTAGCTCAACCATTTGATATATACTATATAGTATAAACAATGCATTTGCGACCATGTAACTAGGGCATTCCTTGTTAGCAAGCCTTATATATAGTGACAGAGAGTGCATGTTAGATGCAATCATGTGTGCCATATATTAGTTTTTAGAGATTTGGCAACCAAATAATAAGCAAATGCATAAACAAATAAATTCAATGATCGAAAATGGGAAGAAAAGTCTATACAATCCAGTTGCGTGTCTTTGACAATCTCCTGGCAAGAGCATGAATGCAGTAGGCCACATCTGCCCGTGGATGCAGTACTGATGTTGCAGAGAAAATTTCTATAGAAAAAATCAAATTAAACACCAGAAATAAGATAACCAGAAACAGATAGAAATAAGAAGAATTTCCCAAAAGAAAAAAAATAAGAAGAATAAATGCATATTGAACACGAAGATTTCAATTCAACAGTGCATTGAAATCATGTTTCAAATTAACAAAAATTCAGCTAAATTTCAATCATCAATTACAAAATTTTCAATAAGTAGAAAAAAATGGGGGGAAAAACATGGAGTCAGAGAGTTTCTATATAGATCCAAAACCTTAATCAATTGAATTCAATTATACAATCAAAACCAATGTTCACACAGAAATTTGATCAAACACAAAATATGTACATTTGTATATACATAAACTCACTTCTTACGTGCCGTTCCTTTGGAGGACCCTCAACGTGATTGGTGGCCTTAACAACAGCAATATCCAAATCCTTCCACAAAAATCAAACAAACATTACCATGAAGCAATTACCGAATAGTTCAAAAGATTAACATGTCAATGAATTTGAATTCAATAAAAATCTGAAAAATATCATAGCTAATTAATGAACTAAAATAATTTCCATCAAAATTGAAGGAATGACACACACACATACACACATTTATATTTATGATTATGAATGAATACCTTGAATTCACTATTGACCTTGGCAAGGCCAACCTTGGTGGAGTCTTTGAGCGCTCCATAGGCTTTTCGAAAGCTGTGAAAGGTACCCATTTGCCCTGAGGGCCTAACCTATATGGAAAATCTCTTCTTTTGATCAGAATTAAGAAGAAGAGAGAGAAAGAAGAGGCCAGAAGAAGGTGATCTTCTTCTCTGGTAATCACAACGGTGTGCGTCCAACAAGAAACAAATAAAAAAACGACTCTCTTTCTCTCTCCTCTTAAAATTTTTTTTTTTTTTCTTTCTCTCCAAAAATGTGCTCAAAGATGAAGATTGAAGAGGTCGTTCAAGGGTGAAGTTTGGTCGTTTAGCAGTTGTCGGAGGTTAGCTAATAATCATTTGATCGGAAATAATAAAAAGGTTCTTTTTGTTTTATTATTGGAATTATTCAATTACCTAACATCAAGACTATAAATAGTGACTTAATTGGGAGCAAAACGAGGTTGATTTGGACCCCACTTGAAGATTTCGTCTTATTGGTTGAAACGTAGTACGGGTGTAAGAAAAGAAGCCCAGTCTGGCAATTCCGTGTGAAACACGTGCTTTTGCTGAGGGGGCCGAGGTGCTATATAACTATTTTTATATACTAATAGTTATATAGTTATACTAATCAAAGGCAACATTTGTCAATTCCTTTAAATATAATATATTAATTTAATTAATTTTGTAAACTATACTAAGGAAACATTCTGCATGGAATTATTCTGTAAACTCTTTCATATATTTTATACAGAAAATTTATTCCAACCTCAATTTCAAACAATTTACTTTAACCACTTCAATATTCATAAACCTCAATTTGTGGATGGAGCCAAAAATTTTGAATTAGATAGGGTGACAAACTTGAATTATATATATAATTAAAAAAAAATTAAAAAAAAGTAATTGTAATATAATTTTCTGTACAATATTAGTCTTGGTATATTTATTGATGAAAATATAATTTAAACAAAATGAGAAGAATGCAATTGAAATAAATAGAGATGGAAAATTAATTCCAACGTCAATTTAGCCGAGATTATTTGAAATTAAGGTTAATTGAAACAGACACGCATACAAATGTTACCTTAATATAGTTTACAAATTTAATTGTATTGAAAGGAATATCTTGGATTTAAAAGAATATACAAATGTTGCCTTTAGTAGTTTTAAGTTGCTGCGAATTGCGTCTCAAAACGTCAGCATTTTGAGGTACAGGATTTGTCCTAGGATCCCCAGGAGAGGATCCAAGTCCATATATATATATATACACACATATATATATATGGGTTATTGTTGGAATAAAAAAAGTATTTTTATCAGTAAAGTTGTCAAAAAATTACGGTCAGTGATAAACATATTAGGTGTTTGGTGACATAATATAATAAATATTTTTTACATTTAAATTATTTTTAATTTATTTGGTAACAAAAAATTTTTAAACACTTCTATAACTAATTTACAATAATATCTTTTATGATTAATTACAACGACACCCCCTAAAGTTTGTCGTATTAGCATGCATATATAAGTTAGTCATTTTTTTAACACTCACACTCTCTGTCAGAAATTTAATCCAAACAAACCCTTAAAAGTTATGAAAAGACAAAATTGTCCTTCAATAAAATATCAATTATTAATTTAAAATATCAAAAATATGTATATGACAGAATTACCCTTTTTTAAATAAAGGTTTCTCCATTTAGGGAAGAAAAAAAAAATCATAGGTTTGCTCTCTATCTTTACCCTCTCAACCCACCGATCTCCTCGATTTCCTTTGATACTATCAGAGTGAGCTTGGAAAGCTCACTGTTCACCAATGATGCATCATCATAGTCGCCGAATCCGTCGAACGCCTGTTCCCAGTCGACACCCTCAAAATCTGCATGCAGACAATTGGGTCTTCGTGCCCATCTTCAAACCTCTCACTCCGGCCAACCTTTAGCTCCATTCTCAAGCTCGAAGGCTCTACCGTCCTCTATCGCGGTATCATCGCCATGGGTTTCGGTGTCGAAATTAGGGTTTTGGGGTTTGAATTAGGGTCAACGAGCACGAGGCAGTGAAGATATCGAGGTTTCAATTTTGTCAGAGCAATGGAAATTTATGGTTCGCAGAGAGGGATTGCGCCGACGATGGTGGTTTGGCAACCTTTATTCCACCACCAATTGCTCCTCCGTTTCTTCGAAGTGATGGTGGGGATGGTTGTGATGGGGTTGTGGATTGGTGGTGGTGATGGGTGGCGAGGTTGGGCAGTGAAGTGGTGGCGGGTATGGTTGGGCCGTGGAGTGGTGGCGGGGGTGTGATGTGGTGGTGGCTGGTTTGTGATGTGGTGGTGGTGGGGCTGTAATGTGGTGGTCGTGGGTGTGGGTGTGGGTGTGGGTGTAGGTGTGGCGGGGCTATGAAGAAAAGAGGGAAGAGAGAGATGCGTTGGTGATGGTGGCTATGGTAGTGTGCCGCCAGTGGAAGTGGCAACCACCCTCTTCTTCTCTCTCTCTCTCTCTCTCTCTCTCTCTCTCTATATATATATATATATATATATATATATATATATAGGAGATGCCCTCACTCCCAAAACAAAAACTGAAGACTATCACACGCTGGGTGACTTTGGCGCCTCAGTTGTATCCTTTGATGCAGAATTGTTGTTTTTCGACTTATGGGACTTTCGGCCGCCCTCTCTCTTCCAATCTCAAATCTTTTTCCGATTACTGTTCTTAGTTAGAAATATGGTAAAGCCCTTATTTGGAGTTGTTAAAATATCGCCACCATCATCGAAATAGAGGGCGAACCCCAGGTTTCAACCTCGGTACTTAGATCTTCCTCGATGTAGTGTATATATATACACATATATGTGTATTCGGTGTATGTATACGGTATAGTGATGAATGGTAAGTTTAGTTAATTAAAATTACTTAGAAGGTTAAATTTGTAATTTCAAAATCTCAATGATTTAATTGACAAGTCAAAGGGTAAATTGGTCAATTTTTAAAATGTCGGTGTACAGATGGTGTTAAGGGGTGTTTTGTCGACTTTATCAAATTTCAGGGGGTCTTATTATCCAAAAAGGGTTAACTTATATATGCCTGTCAATACGACAAACCTCAGGGGGTGTCGTTGTAATTAACCCTATCCTTTAATACGATGTTACTATATTTGATAATACCAACTTTATTAAGGAATGGATGTAATTATCTTTATAAAAAATTAAAAGAACAAAAATGTCTAATAAAAAAGAGTTACCTAAAATCTCTACTAAGGCAGTTTTTAAAACTAAAAATTCTAGTTTAATTCAAACACACTGTTAAACTAAATTTGATAATCATTCAAAGCACTTATAATGGAAACGCAATTTTTCAAAATAAAAGTACTTTTAAATAGTAGAGAAGCAATCCCAATATTGAAATCACTCTTACAACAATCAAACTTTAACTCTACAATTGAATAATTATTTATTTTCAAATTACTCATTTATTCTTCCTTATGTGATTGCTTTCCCCCCTCTCTCATCTTTAATATTTTTTAGGACAATACTTGGGTCCTTCCTTGGAAGGGTGAACTTCATCATCCAAGCTGATGTGGCTCAATAAAATTTAGACATATATCCAAACTTTTAAAAATTTTAATAATGGTTATTAAACTTTTTACCGGTTAAATCCAAACCCAATTTTTTTTCTTTTCTTATTTAAAATTTTTAGAATCCCTTTTTGAGCATGACTCTCTTCTCCCCCTTCCCCCTCTCTCTCCACAAATTGCTATATCCAACCTCCATAAAGAAACCCTAGTCTATCTACATCAATCAAATTTTTATCTTTTATTCATTGTAAAACAATATACAAACTAATAGAAGCTCATAAATAACACAAAACTGCATCAATAGTAACTTGCGTATTCACGAACTTTTAATCTTTCTTTTTCATATTTTCCACCAATAAGAGAAAGGAAAAAAAATAAAATTAAAAAAATCAACTATTAACCCTATCAATCGAAGATGTTGGAAACTTGATAGATCTAACTTGGACCGAAAATAGATTTACGTACAATGCTAACTCTGACCAAGAAATAAATAAAAAAGAAAAGCTAACTCTGAGTAAGAAATAAATATATGAGAAAAGCTAACTCTGAGTAAGAAATAAATATATGAGAAAAGCTCTATTCAAAGATTAGTTAACATTAAATTTTTATATAATATTTAAAGCTCCTATTACTACCCTATTCAACACTTGATATAGTACATTTTTTAAATAAGTTTAGGAATTTTTCCATTTCAAATGGAGGTTAGGTATAGAAACAATTGTGATCCTTTTGGAAAGAAAAAAAGAAAAAACTTTAGGATTTGGTTGAAGCTATAAGAAAATGGATAATGATTATTTTTTAAATTTTAAACATAAGTCTAAATTGTATTGGGTCGGGAGAATGAACTGTATCATTTCAGATAAGGACCCAAGTATTGTCCTATTTTTTATCACTTTAACAGCCCCAACAAGATATATATATATATATATATATATATATATAAATTATATATTTTGACAAAAATGAAAAATAAAAAGTACAAAAACAGCAAAGAACCCCAAATATATATATATGAATTGAATAAATTGTCTATTTTGACAAAATTTAGAACAATAAATTGTCTATTTTGACAAAATTTAGAACAAAAAGTATAATAAACACCCCCCCCCCCCCCAAAAAAAAGTTACCATTTTTGAAAAATTTATCTTTTGTGACAAATATATATATATATATATAGAGAGAGAGAGAGAGAGAGAGAGAGAGAGAGAGAATAAATTAACTCTTTTGACAAAACCCTTCAAATAAGTTATATTGGTTGAATAAATTATCTATTTTGATAGGATTCACAAATAATAATAATAAAGAAAATATATAAGATAAAAAAGTTAAAGTTTAAAGTATAAATGATAATTATGGTATTCTAAAATAAGAGATAATGCATTAATGAGTTTAGAGTAGGGGTGACAAAGTTTGACATAACCCGTCAACATGACACGAGTTAAGCGAGTTTGAGTTGATCTTAAATGAGTTCAGGTTTTAAACGGGTCGACACAATTAATCTGTTTACTTACTTTTGTGTTTTTGTTGAAGAGTTCAACTCTTTTAACTATACGCATAAATAAATTTCTATTCAAGTTTTAAAATAAGTATCTAAACTTGTATCATATAATATACTCCTTTGTAAACTAAAGATTATTTAATAATTTGACTGGATGGAAACTTATATTTTTCTAATATTTATTGTTTGATTGAGTATTATTAATAATTTAAGTAATATAATGTTTTATTTTAATAAATAGATCATTAAACGAGTTACACGTATAATTCGTTTAATAAACTGACCGGATTAGTGTTAAGGATTCTAACATAA